GGTTTAGGGTTTAGGGTTGCTTATGATGAGGCCCAAGGGTTTACACTTTCGACACCTTGCCTCTGAACCTTGAGCCGCAAGGCCAAAAAGATGGGGATGGCGAGAAGGACGTTCAATCATGCCGAGGTCTTTCTAGGCATTCTAGGCTTTGCACTTGGGTTTTAGGGCTTCTGATGAGGTGGATACGCCTTTGTTCAGCGTTCGTGTCTCATTTGCTCTCTAATACGTCTTGCTTTGGCTTGAAGAGCTGGTTGTCTGATATGCTTATGGTTCTTCAGAGTCCTTCACAGAATAACATGCTGCGCTTGATGCTCGGGGATCAATTTATCCGGTGTTTCGATTGCCTTATCTAGCCTTATCTGTATCCAGTACACAGAGCATCTTGTCCATGATGGATCCTGCTGGTGGATCCCCTACAACGCGTCCCCTCTCTGGGTGCGCTGGACGTCCCGGATGTCGCTGTCCACCTGCCATGTTCAAAGCGCAAGTGTCCATGGCGTTGGATGTCTTCATGGCTAGGAACCCGCTGCATGCAGGGCTTGGCACTTTCCACGATGCTGTCATGAAGGAACAGTCGAGGGTGTCTGTTCGCGTTCTGCGCTGTCGTGAGCGAACGGCCAAGGAGAGGCCAAAGTGCCACGCTGTTCATGGCAGAGCCTGAAATGCTCTAAGGTCTGTGGACACCGCCATTCAAGGTGTCTGTTCGTAGCACTTTACTCTACTCTCACAAAACTGGCTCGAATTAGAGGGTACCTCTCGTCGAAACGAGCCCCCGTGTTCACAACTTTGAAATAAGAGTTTCAAAACATTCCAAAAGGACTGTGATAAACAGAGCCTCCGGGGCCCGTCTGGATCAGGAAAGAGCCCTTACATCAAGTTTGAGGCAAGGGACAAACACGTTCCTTTAGCCCCAGACGAACGAACGAGCCTTCCACTCAAGGAGTCTGTTCATGGCACTGCCTTCTCAAAACTGGCTCGAATTAAAGAGAACTTCACATCGAAACGAGCCCCACTAGTGGGTACCTCTCGACGAAACAGAAGCCCCGAACCCTGTGTGGATGTGACAGAAAAGAGCTCCCACATCAAGTCTGTGGCAAGGCTGTGGCCAGCAGCGTTCAAGGAGTTGATTTGAGGGGGTCCGGCTGTCCAGCCGACTTGCCCAAGAAAATGGGCACCCAGCCATCATCGCGTGGTGCTCCGGCACTGCAGCTGGCGATGTCCGAGCAGCAGTTGTTATGGACGTGGCATCGGCTGTTGCACTGGCACACTTGGCTCCTCCTGTATGTGGAAGGGCAGCCGTACCACTGACAGGTTCCCCGTGCTGAGCGGAGAGCAGTCTGATCTGTTGCATTAGTTTCGTTCTGGTGGGCCGACATTCCTCGAAGCTGAGCCAACGCTGTACTCCATGATGCTGCCACGAGAAGCGTTGCCAACATCTGCTTCACGGGCGCCATGGGGCCGAAGAACGAAATCTCCTGCTGCGCTGTGCGCTGTGTTTGAGCAAATTTGCTACGGCGGCCGCGATGCCTCGAAAGTGATCAGCACCCGAAGCGTCGGCTCTAGAAGATCCACAAGCGAGCAAGGCGCACCACTTCGTTGAGGAGGCCGGTGGCAGAGTCCGTCACGATTTTTTCGCGGCGCTTCACTGACGTATTCCACTATAATTATCAGAGGTGGCATACCTATTCTCATAACTATCATCACTATCACTAGTACCATCTGCCAGCATCAGTACCAAATCATCATGATTAACGTTGCTATCATAGCTGTGATGAAGGATGGTCCTGATTCTCATGTTCGTCATTGCTGTATGCTTAACATTGTTACGGTGTTGATCAGTCTTATCATTACCATCATTGTTGTTATTCTCATTAACATGCTGGTCCTCATTGTTACAACCATTATCATGGTCATCATGCGTCTTGTTGCTGTTATCATGATTGAACCTAACAGTAAAACCAGCACCATCATTCCTGTTCTCATTACTACGAAGATCCGTAGCTTTATCGTCAATATCATAAATATCTTTACCATTACCCTAATTACTATGGTTATTGGGACGGTAAACCCTAAGCCCCCAAACTCTCAACCGCATCAAGAGCTTTCCGAGCCCTCGAAGCCTAAACCCAGTACATCTTCTTCTTTCAAGAGAAGTAAGGAAACTGAAGAGTTTGACCTGGGGCTTCATTTAATTTCTAGCACGAGGACTTAGGCACCCGGGAGTAAGGACGAGCTATCTTGTGAGTTGAGGCTCCTCGGCAGAAATACCCCTTAAACCCAAGGCGCAAAGCCTTACGTCCCAATTCCAAAACGGAAACCCCGAAAGCCCAAACCCCTGGCGAGACGCGTGTAGAGCCTTCCTCGGAGGAGTAGCCTCAGGGTATACGGTAAGGGGCCTAGGATTTGGGCATCGTGGTTTAGGGCTTTCAAAGTTCGAGTTTGGCAAACTTGGGATTCGGGGGTGCAGGTCTACAGGACTATTTCTGGATTTAGGCATCTAAATTGAAGATTTTGTGCTTTGGTTCAAGGATCTGGGCTTCGTGCGGATTCTAGTGTTCGCATTCGCCTACCAGATTTTGGACTTCCATCAGAAAGGTATGCCAAGACCTTCTCTGGCACTCCACGGGCAGAGCCGTGGTTGCGCACACTCGGCACAACCGTGCTCAACCCTGAACCAGAAACAGCCTTGCTTTGAGGTCAAGCTTTTGTTGCCCAGTTGCCCGGCACCAGACCTTCATCCACATAGCCTGCGAGAAACTTTGAAGTTCCGTTGACACAGGTTAGTTGCTCGCGGCGTTGCTACGAACAATCTTACTAGTGGTAGCACTATGACCACGATGACTATCACTGCCAAGATTACGGGCCTCGGGCACGGCCTTCGTGCCAAGTGAAATAACACTCCGCAAAGCGCAAGTATAGGCTCGAGTGGGCCACAGAGGAGTGTAGACAGCCCCATTTCTTGTAGACAACAGCCTGCCAGCGTAGAACCAGCAGTGATGGACAGAGGTAGAGAG